TGTGTGTGTGTGTGTGTGTGTTGGGGCTCTCTGTTGCCACTGGAGACAAGAGAAGAGATGCATACACACGCACGCACGCAAGCACGCACACACACACACACACACTTAAACCCTGAATGTGGAACCTCCAAAGCTGATTAGTCAAACTTGTGATTTCCAATTTCAAACCCGCGACACAAATCCCGCACTTAATATTCATGCAGAAAGTAGTTAGGGCCCCCTTGCCGCCCCGCGCTGCCGTAGGGCTGCGGGTTGGGTAGTGGGTGAGGGGGTGAGTGGGTGAGGGTGGGGGGGTTTATTGCCTTTTAATCAGCTTAGTTAAAAGGATGGAGATGAGGAAAAAGAGGAGGATGACAGGGAAAGAGAAAAGAGAAAGTGGTGTTTTGGGTAGGTGTCTCATTGGCGAAAGCAGCAGCAGCACACACACACACACACACACACACACACACACACACACACACACACACACACACAGGGACAACTTCTTATCTGGGGGGTGCAGAGTGACAGGATGAGCACCCAGTAATCACACACCCACCTCTTGTCTCATTCGATCTGCTGGCCTGGAGGTGGCCAAAAAAAACAGACAACAAAATGTCTGTTTTTAATGAAATAGTTTACGGAACGTCTTTTATTGTTTGCGTCTGTGTTTGTGCACGCTTTTGGGCCCCACTCACGCTTTTTCGTCAGACAAGCACACACATCATAAACAGGATTAGGGCCGCATCTGACAGACGTCGTCTCTGTTTTAGCGAGAGTGACTTCAGCGGTGCCAGTGTTTGTGTGACTCCTCCGTCTGTGTCTTTTAACCTCGTAATCGAGATGGCGTGCCGTGTCATCGCCACTTTCCCCCCCGCACAGGCAGACAGAGAGAGCTGGAAACGACGGATGGATGAGTGGAGGAGAGTGAGAGTGTTGAGAGAAAGGGAGATGGACAACAAAAGCAAGCAGGGATGTAAAAGTCAAAAGGTAAATAAGCAGAAAGTTTACCACCTCATTATTTATGGAATAGAGTTTTAACCACTTGTAAAACCCTGTTTTTTGCTGGGTTTACCCCTCGCTTGCATTGTTTACTCATCTTAGCTACAGGAATATCATATCATATGTTGTTACTTTCAGAATAAGGCTACTCAGAAATGCTATCATTTTACATGCCATAGGTACGAAACAGCTTATAGGACAGTTTGTATGGAAAAGAAAGTTTTATGCCATTTAAATATTATTATTTTTTTAGCCCTTATGCACACGTTTCTATATTAATACATAAACCTGTATGTCAGTGTTTTATGGATATAAGAACCACGTTGATGGGACATTCTGAGCATCAGTACTGTTGTAGTGATCATTTCCTTCTCTTGTGTCGCTCCTACTGCTTTGATTGTTTCACTGCCATGTGTTTTCTGCCACCTTGGCTCCCATCATGCTTTGGGTAATGCAAACAGGCAGGACAATGTTGCCATTGAGTCAGTGAGTTATCCTATCTATGGCAGTTCAAAGACATACAGTCTGTACAGTAAGGTTTGATGGGAAAAGGCTCTACTCTTTGATGGGGCTCTTAAAGAATCCAAGCAGGATGCTGATTGGAGAATCATGAATATGATTGGATGTTACTCGTCAGCTGGTAACCAAACAGCTGATGAATGAGCCATGCAAACATGAATGAAGCATCTGATGCCAAATAGCTAAAAAAAGTGATGAGTTCAGTGGTCTGTCTGAACTAATCCTGGCTTTGTGTCCACATTTATTTACATTATTCTTGATTGATGCTACGTTTAGTAGTCATATTAGTCGTTCCTTCTTTCTTTTTGGCTTGCTGGTAGCGGGTGGGGCTTAACAATTAACACCGGAGCTACTGTTAGCTTTTGCTCTGAAAACGGGCAGCCTATAAGGCACTGCATCGTGTCATCTCAATTTAATGGCCACCAGGGAAGTTATGACTCTGAAAAAAGGGGGTGTTCATGATACAAATCATGTTAACTGGGTTCAAAGGGTTAAAAACGATGGAAATCTAAACCTGACTAGATGATATTGTATTAAACTTTTTTATTAGCACCTATTAAAGCAAGCGCAAGGGAGAATGATGAGCAGACACCACAGCGAAGACACAGCTGGAGAGATATAAACACAGAGAGAGTCGATGAATGAGGCAGTAAACCAAACAGAGGTGGACAAAAAGACAAAGATTAACCCAGAAGGAGAGGACACAGGGAGGCGAGCGGACCTCCACCTCCCAGAGAGCGAGAGTGACTGCAACGAGGAGCGCCTCAACCCTCCCGCACCTCCCCGTCGAGGCCACCGCCGCAGACTCCCATCCCATCATTCATCCGGACATAGCGGAGCGGTACAAGATGTTTCCAGTCCCCACCGCACTCCATAAGTCAGCCCCTCTTTCTCCAGAGAGACGGCCCTTAAACACCAGCTCCCTCCGCCTCGCTCTCATCGCTCCCATCAGTCCGTCTCTAAAACAACCATCGGAGATATGGGAAGCAACGGCCGGCGACCATCAGCGTAGCTCTCCACATGTCTACCGGCCTCTTCCTCCCTGCAGGCCCGGGGGAGAAGAATGTGGCAGACATGCGGACGGCGCTGTTCTTCAGGGAGACTTTAGGAAAAATGGCAGCAATAGAGTCTACAGGGGCTATAATTCACCAGGCGGGCTCCACGATGCTGTGACATGGTTATTAGCCATATAAACTAGAGCTGTCACCGTGTCATTATTGCTCACATCCACGTGAGAGCATCCTTTTTTCTTTTTTATTTACTTATTTCTTTTTAACCAGCTTCGGGCCCCGCTGCTGATAATTCTTTGTTTGTATCACGGCAGTGCGATTGATGCCTCTGGCCAAATGCATTTGCTTTCCTTTTGTTGCGGTTTTGCTTTGTTTCCCCCACTATCTGACTGAGAGTAAACACACACACACACTGGCACATTTTACAGGACGTAGATGTTAATTAGGTGGCCGTGTGCCTGCAGTGTGTTGACAGCAAGCACACACAGCGGAGGAGCCTTCACGTGTCGACTCAGTTTCCTACAGGTTCACCGAGTCCTCTACACAACTGCTCCCAGCATTACATCATTTATTGATGCAGTTCATTATCTCACACATCTGTGTTTATAGGTCTAGACTTGCCTGTCAACGTGATTGAGGAGCTGAGGTTAATGAATGTGATTGGTGCAAGACAACATTTGAAAAGTAGCCACAATGTTGTTTTTATCTAACATTTAGCTGATAACGTATCCTTCACTTGGCTGGCATGTGATTCGGAATATCGAAGAATACAGAAAGCATAACAGAATAAGTTTTGTGATGTTGGGACATCTTTTTGAGGAGGCAGAGATTTGACACTAGATCAGTTGTGCTCGCCACGAGGAGTTCTACTCAATAACGTCCTCTGTGGCTTTAAAGGAAGCCAGTCTGAAAAACCAACATCATCACGGTTTATCCCACAACGGGCATGAAGCAGCACATCTTTAACAGAGGGACTACTTTACAAACTGGGTGAAACATTTTAAAGACATAGGGAAGCTTTTACTAAAGACACGGTTGAGATTGAAATTGTGAGATTTGTTTTTGGTGGTTAACCAATATTAGGAGCTAAAAGTGAGGATATCTCGGCCTCTCCACGCTGTTTTGAATCTGTCTCTTGTGACTTCCAGAAGTTTAGTGTTTAAACAGTTATAGACAATTTAACCTCCACATTTTGGTGCCCGATGATGTTTTTTGTTTTACATTTTTGGCAGATAACAAGAAAATGTGTCATCAGGTTACTACATGTTGCATTTTGAATTGGCCCCCGCAGAATCATAGACCAAAGGCTCCTTTTCTGACCCTTTAAACAGTTTGTGCTGCAAAAAATGAGGAATTTCCTCCACAAATGGCAACATTTCCTCCAATGTCGATGCCTTGAAACTCTGTGCAGATTAATTAAGGAATTGGAATTAAGAGGTGCAAAGTAACATTAGCATGTTTTGGTTTGTCACCTGCTGTGCTGAGACACTTCCAGCCAGTGAACAGCACAAAAGAACGAGATTTAATTGAGTAAATGGGTTGAATTTGTAGTATCTGAATTATCGCTCTCCTTGTTTTAGCGCCAGTGATTTTTGGCGTATAAAACAGGATTATTTTGAACACCGTATCTTGCCTATAGCTGCTAGCTTTAAAGAACTCAGCCGTGTTTCTACTCTAAAATACTGTTTATCCATTCGGCTCGTGACGGTATCTAAATGCACCACATCAGGAACAAGTCTCCCCTCCAGGTTTCGGAGTCTACTTTATGAGTTGAGTAGCAGCGAGGTCAGGGTCTCTGTGGCTGGTGAGATAAATAGACTGTTAGCCAGTGTTTACAACTGGGTCAGAGTGATATATGTCCCCCCCCCCCCCCGGGTTAAGAGAGACCCGGAGATCTCATTCTCCTACTCATCTGCAGTCAAACATCGCAGCCCATCATTCCAGAGATATGAACGGGAGTTATGGGCTGCGGGTTTGATGTATGCTGAACAGAGAGGATACATGACAAGAGAGAAGATTTATAAACAGGCACATGTGATGTCAAAATCTCTGCTTCGTGTTTGGGCAATCCCTTTTTTGTCAGATTCAATTTAAAATGATTCCATTTCTTTATTTTCATAATATGTAGAAAAATCAATACTCCACGAGTGCTCGATAGACGGGGATGGTGCATATGGAACTTGTTAAATACTTCACTGATGTCAGTATAAAACATCATTACAAGCATCAAATAAACATCAGTAAAATATGATAATCTACAAAATAGATTAGGTAGAGGTGCATTATGTATTGAGACAACACAGGAGCATCCACACATGCATTAGTGCCCACACCAATCTAGAATTATGCTGTCTGGTGCACACTTTCAGTCCAGGCCATTCTGATGTTTGACCTGCACTAAATGACTCTGTAACAATGACCTTTTCCAGGGCTGGTTTTGGACATTTGTTTTCCTCTTC